CCCTCTTACTCTTAAGGAATCCCATTCCAAAATAACATATAACAAGATAGAGGTAGCTCCTAATAGGTACTATAGTACAGTAACAGCTCTCAGGGCCATTGAGTCAATCCCGTCCCGCCCCCACAACTCCAGCCAGCCAGAGGACCACTCTACCTGATCACTCTCACTACCCAGTAGGGACTCACTCCATCAGCCCTCACACCTGGCTCTCAGCCAGAGAAGATCTGATCCCATCCACCACACTCCCCACAACCCAACCCACAATTCCTAGATCCCGTTTTTAAAAACCCCTCTTCATAATATAAAACCACATAATCCAACACAGGGTAGTCTGGGAATAGCAATAGCATCTCTAAGCAATGTACAGCGTCAGCAAATTGTACCCAGTAATCTGGTCCTCATTTTATCAGTCTTGGAAATATAGAAGGCTGAGTCAACTTTGAGCCAGTCAGGATCGAATTCCTGACAGTAGGCAGAGAGCCTACTATCTAGAGCAGGAGTGTCAAACTCGAATTCATTGAGGGCTGCATCAGGGTTGTGTTTGACCTCGGGGGGGGGCTGTGGTGGGCATGGCCAGGGTGGGCATGGCCAGCTCAACATCACTCATGTTGGGGGCACCTGTGGAGGCTTGAGTGCTCTGCCAGTGAAAACGGGCTCCCAAGCTCCGTTTTCAGCTATGATGGCCTCCTGCAACCCTCTGCCAGCAAAAACGAGCTCGGGAGGGCTGCGTGTGGCCCTTCTGAACTCTGTTTTCACTGGCAGAGGCCCCACAGGCCACTCCTTCACTGTTTCCAGGGCAGCCTCACGGGCCAGATCTAAGCACCCCCTCCCGGGCCGGATCTGCCCCCCAGGCATTTTGACACCCCTGATCGAGAGCCTGCAATACTGCATTCTAACCAGTGCGCCATCATGACTCCACAGTAGCTGCACAGAAGTTTGGCAGGATCAAATGCCTTTTCTTCCTCCCTTTCCGATTCTTATCGAGAGCAGAGACTTCTCAACATCATTCTAATATTTTGGTAGGGTATGATATCCTCCACTGCTTATAATCCACCCCCAGCAGGTGGCCCAAATACCTTGGTAACAATAAATTAATGATGATAGTCATGAAATAAACTATCTCACAGAAATTGACTCTCATGTTGTTATTCAACAGTTAGTGAGCTTCTTCAGCCATAATTTGATCTCAGTTTCTTAACTGATAACCAACTCTTTCTAGAAACTATTGCAGAATATTTTGGTATAGTTTATGAATGTACTGGTAAAAATGTGCCTATCTACGCCAGTGCTTTGGATGGGATGAGGAGGAAGGATGCCTTAACAACAAGCCTTAAGTCCAGATCCTATTAAGTACATTGGATACAAAGTAAAGTATTAAACATCTCTTTTATTATATCTAGCCAACCAGATTTTTAAAAGTTTAAATCCATCCCTTTTCAAAATGAAGAATTTTAAAATAGGAAAAAAAAATGAAAAGAGAGAAGTTAATTTCTTAACAGCTGCAAAGATCGTTGGAGCTGGGAGATTTTCTAAAGCAACTCTTTCTTAGAATGATTTTGTAAAATGAAACACGGACATGTAAAGCTTCCTGCAGGCGACATCAAGCATGCCAGGGCAGTGAATTGTGCCTACATGTTACCTAGATATGTTCCAGATGCTATAGATTTCTGTCTGAAAAGCAAGTAGGAACAGCTTGATCAAGCCACAATGGCACAAGCAGCAATGAAAAACGGTAACACTGCAATTCAAGCAAAAGTTGCTTCCTTATTTTATAACTAGTGTGCAGTATGCCACTCACTTATAATTTGCCTGGGGCTTGTTTGTTTTATTTTGCAGGTGATTTTACTACTGCAGAACGTTTTTGTTTTTTAAAAAAAATATTGGAAGAAAAACACACTCTCTACAATGTGAATTCCTTTGCTCACTTCAGTAACCTTAACCCTAACCTTAATTCGTTATCATTTTTCATATTAACTCTGCAGTTAATTTACATCACTCTCAATTGACTGAAACCTAAAAAGGTATACTCCTAATTAGTTTTATTGTGAACTACAATGATTGTAAACCTATATATTGAATAAATAATTAATGATATATTTAATTCAATGTTTCTCAAACTTGGCAACATTCAACTTCCAGAATTCTCCAGCCATTGTCAACCCTGAAGTGAGCCTGGCTGAAGCCATCTTGGAGGGTCCAGGGTTGCCACACAATGATGGGAAATAGATAGATGGGGTTTTGTAGACGAAACAATAAAGTTTTCCTGTGGGAACCAAAGATATTCCCACAGGTAGCTAGTCAGAGGAGGAGCCAGTAGCTCAGAGACTGGCCAGCACTTGGATTGGATAAAGTGACCAGTGACTTGGGGGTGGGGAGGGAGAAAAACATTTACTTTTAATCAGGTGAAAGCCACAGGAAATTTCAGAGTCAGCTTTCACCAGTTGTGCCAATATGATGTATCCAGTAAACTGTTCTTTGAGGAATGCCTCAGAGTTTTATTTTCTATGGGTGCATTACTTGGAACGCTGACAGCCAGCATGAGTTGAACTCAGCCTAAAAAGCTCCTTCCAGTTATATAACTCCATCATTCTGTATCTTTGGTTCATGTGAAGAACAGCGTCAGGTGGCTTTGAAAAAAAATCTGGTTGCTATGAAGGGAGTGTGTACAAAAGTTGATTTAAAAGATGGCCTGATGCTTTTGCATGAGGCTGTGGCAGCTGAACCAATACAGTACAGAGGAGGTGAGCAAGAGAATGAAGAAAGCTTCACCCAGCAACTCTGAGATAAATTAAGTTCTAACAATGAAAGTAAGTACTCATCAGGCTTTCTATAATTTAATCCCTTTTCTCTTTTACTAAATCTAATTATCGAGGCCTTTGTAAAAAACTGTTTTCTATTACCAAGAGTTTGGCAAGAAAGAGTACTAAGCGTGCTTTTCAAACACAGATTTGGTGCTCTTTGAATAAGCCCTAGATCTGTGCTGTACGGAAGGTTGACTTAAACCAGGAAAGTGAGTCAGATTCTGCTTGCTATGTATTTGCTATAGCTCTGTCATTGTTGAGTGCATTACAGATTTTCCACAGCTTCTGCCAGGAAGGGTGGTTCTTTTTAATTACTTCTATTATTTCTGAGGTCTCTCAGGTGCTATAACTGCTTCATAGATTGATCAATGCTGCTTGGACTAGCAGCGTGCAATCGTAGTTCCTAGCTGTGCAATGCACCATGGCAAAACAGCAGCATTTGTATACTCCGCTCTGGTTTCAGCTGCAGGAGGTTCCACGGTGATGACTTGATGACTATTGTTGTTACATAAAACACAGTCACAATTGCTGCTTATGTGGCCTGAACTAGACCTCTTAATAACCCACTAACCGAATCGGCATTCTGGTGCATTTTTTTTTTCTTGTTGGAGTTTACTCGTCAATCATACTCTTGCTTTCTCCTGTGGCAGGGCAAGGGTTGCACCAAGCAGGAACCTCAAGTGAGCTCTCTCCCATCTTAGCCATGCTATTCTTCTGTGCCCGCAACCTGTTAAACAGGTTTCTTTATAACAAGGATTTGGTGCTCTTTCAGAAGAGTGCTAACCAAAAATAGCCCAATAGACAGATAACAGGAACAGAGAAGATTTGTGCTGAGCAAGAATGCTGGGAAAGCTCTCCCCCACTTTACCCCATTGCTCCTCCTTGTGCCAGCTAGTTATTAACCAGACACTTGACAGATAATTGAACCTGTCATCCACAGTTGTCCAGTTGTCTATCCCTACCCACTGCCTAGTGGACAGAACAAATGGTACAGTACTGATGTACTCCTATCCCTCACTGGCAGATGATATCTGTTATCTGTTATGATGTTTGATGGGTAGGAAAACAAAACCAATGCAATCCATTATAAGTAGTTCTCAATTTACAACTACAGATAACAGATAATCAGAGTTGGAAGAGACCTTGTAGGTCATCTAGTCCAATCCCTGGCCCAAGCGGGAGACCCTACACCATTTCTGACAAATGGTAGTCCAATCTCTTCTTGAAGGTCTCAAGTGATGGTGCTCCCACAACTTCTGAGAACAACTTCTGTTCCATTGGTTGATTGTTCTCACTGTCAGAAAGTTTCTCCTTATTTCCAGGTTAAATCTCTCCTTGTTCAGTTTCCATCCATTATTCCTTGTCTGGCCTTCGGGTGCTTTAGAAAATAGCTTGATCCCTTCCTCTCTGTGGCAGCCCCTAAAATATTGGAAAACTGCTATCATGTGTCCCCTGGTCCTTTTCTTTACTAGATTAGCCATGTCCAGAATTGAGCCCAACATTTCTGTTGCTAAGTGAGACATTTGTTAAGTCAGATTTGCCCCCTTTTATGACCTTTCTTGCTACAGTTGTTAAGTGAAGCCCTTCAATTGTTAATTTACTGAAGTAACCTGGTTATTAAGTGACTCCGGCTTCCCCCATTGACTTTGCTTGTCAGAAAGTCGCAAAAGGAGATCACGTGACCCTGGAACACTGCAAGCCGTCGTAAATATGAACCAGTTGCTCAGCATCCCAGTTTTGATCATGTGGCCACGGGGATGCTGCAATAGTTGTAAGTATGAAAAATGGTCATGTCACTTTTTTCAATGATGTTGTAACTTTGAACAATCGCTACATGAACGGTTGTAAGTCAAGGACTTTCCTGAAATTGGGCTGCATTAAATCTGTAGTGATTGGCCTCATCGCTATGAGAAAACAGGGGCAGCACCATTTGTGTTACCCTTCTTTTTTTGCATTTCAAGGAGTGACAACACTGATGTGGTTGGCTGGAAGAGCCCATTGTAACAGTACCTTGCATTCCAATTGTTACTTCTTGTAATTTTTTTTTCTTGTAGGGCTACCTATTCTGGGCTGCAATTGCCTGGATGACCATCAGATCTCAGCAAAACATATTATTATTAGATTATTATTATTATTATTAGATTAAGTCATACATATGTCGGCAGTCCAGATCTGGGAGCCCTACTCTTCCAAAAGATATTTTGGTGGGGTCAGAGAATTGTGAAAGACATTGGGTCTGTTGGAGGTGAAAAGGAAAGCTCAGGACTCCTGAAAAATTTGTAAACGCCTATCAGTTAAATAAAAGTCCTGTCTTTGTACTATTGTAATTGTTGTCCAGCTGCTAATTAACACATATTCAAAGTTGTGACGTTCCCTATCTGAAATTGAATTAGATTTACCTAATACCCTCGGGTAATATGATTAACTATTTATTATCAGGACCAGAGACTTTGTTATTGAATTCAAAATCTTGAACAAATAAATGTTCTGATCCAGTAACAGGGATACACATCACCCCTCTGGAAAAGAAAGAAGAACGAGAAAGCCCTATTTCGACTGTAAAATTAATTATATACTCAGAAACACCCACTTTTCTCTTTTCCCAAATTCTTTTCCATTATGAAATAAAAGCCTCTGAACAAAATCCTGCTCCTTTGCCTCAGAAAACTTCGTTGTCTGATTTATTTATTTATTTTTGCTCCAAAGAGGTTGGATTGTGTGCCTTCAGGAAATAAAACAACCACCACAAAGCACTTTGCCGTTGCTCAAAACTTCCGCTTGTAGTTTGAGACTTTAAAAGGGAGGGAAAGAAAAGACAAAGGAGGAAGCTCCAGGCTGCTGGTTTGGCAGGTGCAAAGGTTTTTTTCAAGCAAACATCTGGTTTGGTGGTAGTTCTGAAGCCAGGCATGAAATCAGAAAGACAGTCTTTCCCCCCTCTGCAATTTTTTTTTTTAGTGTTGTTTTACGACTTCGGGCCCTTTGTGGTAGGGAAGCACCCAGGCTCCTGTTCATTGAAGCTCGCCTGCTCAGACTTTGCACTGTTATATTTGTACAGTGAGGTTACCAAGGGTGAAGATTCTTTCCTGTTGGGCTGGTAACTGTTTCACGCAGCTTTTCCACACTACACAATACACTTTGGCTACTGTTTGTATAGTCAGGAAACTGTTAAAAAAACCAAAAACAACCGAAGAAGGTTTGTAAAACTTGTTTGTGAAACTTATTTTTCAAAACTCTAGATTCAACGGGGTGTAGTATAGTAAACTACACTGTTGAAATTCTGTTTTTTTTAATTCTTTAGGTTTACAGATAGATGATTATCAAAAATAATATCTGAACACCAGGGGTGGTTTGCTATGCTTATGGAGCCTATGTGAAAGGGCAAACTTGGTTTTTATTCGGTAAAAACAAACCCATGGAAATGTGAAATCTGTCAAAGTTTTCTGCTCTATGTTGAAATAACTTCACATTTGCAAAAAGATAGTATGTCTCCATTTCGCACAAAAAGTAACAAAGACTGACAGACATGGAAATTAATTATTAATGTTTAAATTAATTATTACTCTATTAATAATATACTATTAAACTAATAATGTTCAAATGATTAAAATTTTAATCTATTAATAATCAAAGTAATTAATTATCTATTAATCATGGCAGCCTTTTGTATAGCCTCTGAAAAGATGTATGATTTCTGAAGACTAGTTTTCATAAGCTACTGTATATCTGTTTAGTAGTTGTAAGCTACCCAGAGTCTCCTCTTGCCGAATTATGGCAAATGTAATAAATAAATAAATAAATAATTCAGTACACACCAGATTATTCTTAGCAGAAGGAATCACACTTTATCATATATAAATTTAGGAAAAAATGGAATATCAAAAATATGAGCAGGACTTCCCTACTATTATCACTTTTTTTTAAACAGAATGGCCAATGTCTCTTTAAGGCAATTGCTACATATCAAAGGCAGTATTCTTGGTTACATCCTAAATAATTTGAAAGTATATAAGGAATTGAGAATTAATGGATTTTTCATGATTTATTATTTGATTAAATATTATTATATAGCTCTGATAGGAGAAATATCCCTTTGAATTGTATGTGAACAAGAGGTATATGTCAGTTGTCCACATGTATTATTATTTTTCTGACAGAAAACAAAGAAAAAGACTTTTGAGCAATCTGATTGCATTTTCATGAATTGTTTTATTTGTGGTACACCTATTTATGCAGCTGTTTCACTCTTTTCACAGTTCTTTTCACATATAACTTTATATTATGAATAATAATTTACAGTGTCAGCTGTCCAGTTCCAGGGGTGTCAAACTCGATTTCATTGAGGGCCGCATCAGGGTTGTGTTTGACCTCAGGGAGCTGGGGTGGGCATGGCCAGCTCGACGTCACTCATGTCAGGGGTGCCTATGGTGGCTCAAGTGCTTTGCCAGCGAAAACAGGGTCCTGAGCTCCGTTTTTGGCTGCAATGGCCTCCTGCAACTCTCTGCCAGCGAAAACAGAGCTCGGGAGGGCGCTGGCAGAGGCACCACAGGCTGGTCTGCTGTTTCCAAGGCAGCCCCATGGGCCAGATCTAAGCACCCCGTGGGCCAGATCCTGCCCATGGGCCTTGAGTTTAACACCCCTGGTTTAGACAATTTGGTTTGCTGATGCTGTATAATATTAAGATTAATTTGATATCTAAGGATTTGGAAACATGTTATTCTATTCTATTCTATTCTATTCTATTCTATTATTATCAGAAATATGTAGGAGAACCTGGGGAAGACATGGATTCCTCTACAGCAATGGTAGAGGAAGTTATAACTTGAAGTGACAACTAGCCAGGTGAGGAGAAGAAGTGCGAAGAAGGAGGATTCGACATTTTTGCTTATTCTTTTTCTTCAGGTTCCCTCCTCCCCTCATCCAACTGGTTGCCATACCAGCTTGTCCTTGGGTTTGCTGGTGTTGAAGCTGAATCCAGTTCAGTCCAATGACATGTTACCAGTATTAGTCCAACACAGATTAAGGTTACAGTTTGCATGCGGGGGTTTTGACCAGTCAGAAAGAAGGTGATCTGAATGTGGGGGGAACCTAATAATTACCTGGATGTCATGGTCAGATCTTTTCCGGTGAAATTTAGAGTGTTAGCAATTAATCCTCTCTGCAAGTTGGGGAGGGGGAGAAGGGAATCTATTAAGATTATCTGACCCTGGAGTCTCACAGATTCTTCTAAATTACATAGGGATCTGGGAGAGTTTTCTACTGGTATAGTTGGGTGCTTCTCTTAAAGCCCTGGTTGCTCTGTGGAATACAGATACAAAGATTTCCTAGTCATGATCACTCATAAACACTCTGTCCAGGGGTGGGATTCAAATTTCTTAACAATCAGTTCTGTGGGCATGGCCTAACTTGTGGGTGTGGCCTGGTGGTCACGTGACTGATTGGGCATGGCTTGTATGTAAATATTATAAATATTTATGTAAATATTGAATTTTTTATAAAAAAAGAGCAACTTTTACCCAAAATCAGGCAAAGCAGGCAGGCAGATTGAGTTGCTCACAGAATCACAGATTCATTCAGAGATATATCTTTCTGCAGTCTGCTACCTAAGTCTTCACTGAAAAATAGAACGTTCAGTCCTAAGGAAGGTTCAGCTCTGCTTTTAGATCAGCTAGAAAGCAAGAAATATAATGATTTCCTGCTTTCCAGCTAATATAAATCTCCTGGCACAGCAAAACAGCTGATTTGCGGGGGGGGGGGGGGGGGAAAAAAGCCACTTAGCAGGCAAGTTTGATGGTATGTATGCCAGGTAAGGAGTGCGTGGCGAGGAGGGGTCAGCCAGTGGCGCGATTTGCTGGTTCTCCGAACTGGGCAGAATCATAACAACCGGTTCTATAGAACCAGTCCGACCAGGTAGAATCCTACCCCTGACTCTGTCCCTGCCTGCAAAGCCTGAGCATTACAGGCATATGTCTGAGTTGAGGGCTGTGAAGGAAGTAGAATGCCAGGGAGAAAACAAGTGGGGGAATATTTATGCTGAATACAATTAAGCACTGTTTAGCACCCATTATCATTTGTATGTGATGGTGGTGCAACAGTTGTGAAAAAAACTTTTCTTCTCCACCTCCATTGCATCTTCTCAGGGTTGTCTAGTCTGGTGGAGCTTTGTCAAGTGATAAAGGGCCTGTTGCAACCTGGCCCAAAGAAAGATGCTGTTGTACTAGAGGTGGCATTCAGCAGGTTCTGACCAGTTCTGGAGAACCGGTAGCAGAAATTTTGAATAGTTCGGAGAACTGGCAAAAACTGTCTTGTCCTATTTTGTTGGGTCATGAATTTCAGTAGTTGAGGCCTGAAGAATGCTTGATTTACCACTTTGTGTGCCACTTGTGTACTCAACCGTTGCTAGTCTTGGCTTATTAAATTCAGTTGGGAGAAACTGTCTAGGGATCCAAAAAGTCATAAATGCCTCATTGAGAGAGGGGCTGTTTTAGTCTTTGCTTTAAAAAAAGTCCGTGATCAGGCTGCTTTGGGAGAAAGTTAACCTGGATAAAAACAGCTCTAGGTTGGTGACGGATATTCCCTTTCTTGGCAAGAAGCTTGAGCAGATGGAGGATGATCAGTTCCAGGCTCATTTGGATGAAACCTTGTCTAGATTTAAATGAATGAAATGAAATTAATAATATCTGAATGTGGGATGCAGTTCTGTGTTCACTGGACTTAAAGTGGGGGGGGGCGCGCAAGGGTGCAGCTTAAGTGTTATTAGGGGTCTGGACATACTGTGGTTGGTGTTTCTCCAGTAGTAATAGCTGTCTGTGGCTCAAACTTGATGTTCTACCCAGCAAGGGGTGCCATGTTTTGACAGGACTCTCAGGCTTTCTTGCCCAAGTAAGTCCCTAAGCACAGTTAGTTTGATCAATTCTCTCCATTGTGATCATTGGCTTGGGTGGAGACTCAGTTGATGGTGGGATTCAAATGGTTTTTACTACCAGTTCTGTGGGCATGGCTTGGTGGGCATGGTGTGGCTTGGTGGGCGTGACTTGGTGGGCCTAGCAGGGGAAGGTTACTGCAAAATCCCATTCCCTCCCTGCCACACTCAATGGTGGGATTCAAATATTTTTACTAGTGGTTCTGGGGGCATGGCTTGATGGGTGTGGCAGGGGAAGGATACTGTAAAATCTCCAGTCAGAGGTGGTATTTGCCGGTTCTCCGAACTACTCAAAATTTCCGCTACCGGTTCTCCAGAACTGGTCAGAACTTGCTGAATACCACCTCTGATATGGGTAGTAGTCAAATTGTCTTCACATGGAGGCTGAGACCAGTTACTACTTCGGCATTCAGTGCCATATATCAGCCAGTCTTACCTAATTTTTACTACCGGTTCTGTGGGCGTGGCTTGGTGGGCGTGGCAGGGGAAGGATACTATAAAATCTCCAGTCAGAGGTGGGATTTGCCAGTTCTCTGAACTACTCAAAATTCCCACTACCAGTTCTCCAGAACTGGTCAGAACCTGCTGAATACCACCTCTGATGTGAGGTAATTATTTAACAAGCTTTCCCCCACTCAAATATGCACACCATATCTTTGATATATGTGAGAAGATGCTGTCTGATGTCATCCACTGCAGTGCAGACCTCTCTTGCTTTTTATCATTCCTTTATATGCAATTGTCTACTGCAAATATGTGAAGATAGAGTAAAAAAAGGAGAGAGAACAGTCAACATGAAACAAATCTTAGATATTGTTGACTTTTATTTCAGAAAATAAAACAGGAAAATATTGAAAAAGAAAAAAAACAGCAAGGAATAACAATAAGTTTATAAAAATATAAAGGGGTCTCTATATTTACATATCATTCTAACAAAGGATGAGCATATTTCATTGTAAGTATCCATACATAACCTAAATCTATACAATTCATGTATATGTTGCATGCTATATCAGGTCTTTAATCCACTATGTAACTGGGCCATAAATTTATATTGAAAAACGAGTCTCTTAGCAATCTGAATGGGGCAGATGTTGTTCAGCATCATTTTTCATGTAAAATAATATGGATATCTGAAAATATCGAATCCTGTCTTAAAGTCAGATAAATATATCTAATTACTTTTTCATAGAACAGAAATGTTGGTCATTGCAAAAGCATAGAATTTAATGAAACATATAAGTGAAATACATGGCAATGAAAAGTCATCCATACATTGCATATATGAAAGAAATATAGTTAACAGGTTAAACAACAGCCAAGTTAAAGTTCAAGGCATTTGTTAATAGTCTGTTATATAATTTACTTTTATTGAAAGTCTACATGGTTTTTTATTTACCAAAAATTGTCCCAATCATTATCTCTGATGATCTGTCCAGATCAAATACCCTCCTTTGGCTCTTAATAACAGATCAATTAGGTTACAAATAAATGTAGAAGCTAATAATTTTGAACTTCCTTTGCAAGGAGATGAGCTATTATTGTTGCAATAAATTTGTCAGTGTTCAATTAGGAGGGATAATATGTGTTTTTTCTTTTGTTCTTTTTAATTTATATTTGTAATATTCTTGTCTAGTTTTGCTTGTTAATACAAGCTTAATACAAAAGGATTTTTATTTTAATTTTCTGAATAAAATTAAAATTAAAAAAGAACCATTCAGACTGGTTGTCCTGTGTGATGAAATAGATTGAGATGATCTATATATTTAATAACTTGATAAGTAAGTAAATGAATAAGTAAATAAATAAAGTAATTTGTAGTATAGTGTATAAGCCAGTTTGTTGTCGTGGTTAGTTAAGGCACCAGGCAGGACACCATGAATTCTAAATATGCCTTAGGCACAAGGCTAAAGTATCTTTGGGTCAGTACCCCCTCTCACCCTAGGAAGATGGCAATAGCAAGCCATTTTCTAAAACGTTGCAAATAAAACTGCAAAGTCTTGTCCAAGCAGTTGCCAGAAGTCAAGACTGTCTGAAAGGCACTTTAAAAAAATACTGTATATTGTAGGATAAGCATTCTTCTCAAGCTGCATTTCTTGTTCACACCACTAGGTGGTACATAACTTTGCGATGTAATTGAAAGATGACAGGGATACCCAATCCTACTGCATATTCTTCTGTATGGAAGTCAGAGCCAAAAAAGACAAGTTTGACTGAATGCCATTAAAGTGCATTATCAAAATAGCAACTGCAAATAGCAGTTCTCTCAGTACCATTAGTGGGGAAGGGAGGAAGTGTTAGAAACCAGTGGGAACTTCCTGCAAAATGCATATATAGGAGCTTCTGACTTTGGCTGGAAGATAATTTGTCAAACATTACCTCTTCCCAAGTCTTTTCTGTTTCTGAACACTTTTTCTGTGAAAAATGTACAAACATAGGTTTTGGATAGGCACCCTGCCTTTCTTATTTTGCGGACCTTAGCTTCCTTCAATCCCAGTCAACACAGTCAAGAGTAGAATATGTACCTTAAGTTGCCAATCCCTGATGTAGGAAGATGGTCTGCTTATTTTTTATTAAGTTACAGCACACTTGTGTATCCCTCAGGCATTTACTGATCAGATCATTTTCTCCTACTGCTTTCTGAAACGATATAAATCTCAGGCTTTTCCTGTATTTTCTCTTAAATCACACTTTAATTTTCTTAATGAAAAAAATGGCACTTGAACTTATTAAGGCTTAACTTTGATTTCTTTCTGTATATCAGCATAGATGCAGTTTACTGACTTGGAATATTAAAAAATATAATACTATTTTCAGTTCTGAGGAGATCTGTAAGTAACAAAAATAACATTTTTTTCTACTCTAAAAAAATACAGAAAAACATAATCATCCACATCCTCTTACATGTTCTGTCAATTTCAGAATGAACTCCTCAACACTTTTTTCTTCTGCATCAATGGTTGTAGAATTGACGTGGATAACTATCATATTAAATAATTGTTCACAAAATCTAATTAATATTATTTGGTCATTGACTATATTTTACTGCATTGTTTTTTCTGACTATCCTTTTTGTTTTTCGTGTCCTTTGTAGGATGTTCTGACTGAAAGTGTCTGGAGAAGGTTATGTGGCAGCTGTTACAAAAAATATCAACTTAATCAGGAAAGACAAGAGTGGGCAAGGAAGAAACTCATGACTACTCCAGCTTGAATCTCTGTGGTATAATTCTGCTATTATACTCTGTAACAATAAAGTTCCAGTAGTTATGAGAATGGTTGTTTGTGATCTGCTCTACCACAAAGATCTGACAATGTTGAATTCTAGCCCATTTCAATTCTCTGATACCTAAGACAACAATACATAATCGATTGATTTCATATTTCACTGTGTTGAGAGCTTCCCCATGTTCATAATCCTTGGATTCCATTCTTCCAAAAAAGCTGTCCCTTTTTAGCTTTTCTTTTTCTACATCATATAATCCATCGATCCATCCATCCTTGCATCCATCCAGGGGCTTTAATATAGCTGTGCCGTTAGCACAACGAGTATTGTGAAAGACTGTTCTTCCGTTGTTTCTTAACAGGATAGCAATAGCAATAGCACTTAGACTTATAGACCACTTCACAGAGCTTCACAGCCCTCTCTAAGCATTTTACAGAGTCAGCCTATTGCCCCCAACAATCTGGGTCCTCATTTTACTGACCTCAGAAGGATGGAAGCCTGAGTCAACCTTGAGCCAATGAGGATTGAACCCCTGGCAATCAGCAGAATTACCCTGAAAGCTGCATTCTAACCACTATGCCACCATGGCTTTTAAGGATGTTAAGGAACAACTGACCTGAGAGGCCAATAACTTGGCATTATATCAACAACCACTTTATCTTGTCTCTAGTCATGCTGTTTTCTTAGTAAAATACAGGCATGGTTTTCCAGTGTATTTTCTTGCACAATATGAAATGATACTTTGCAGTTGACGTTAATGTGATCATCTGCCTCTAGCATCTTCCTCTATTGCTGCTGCCTTATATAAATGCCAGCTTGCTTTAGCTGGGCATATGGAATGACCTTCACACCTTGTCTGACTCTGCTGCATTCTTTTTGGGTCATTTCTCTTTTCCTTCAGGGAACCTTTAGCCCTTAAATATTTGCTGGTTGCTAGAATTTCTATTTTGCCTTTCTAAGAAACCAGTTTTGTGTCTCAATTCTTGAATTTAGTCTGATAGTGTTTTCCTTGTATTTTCTAGAGCCTGGCAAAATGTTGATGAATAACGGCCTTTGCAGAGAGTTGGTCCTGATAGTATTTGTCTCATTGTGTCATCCGATAAAGACTACAACAGAACATGCGAAGATAAAAACATAATATGGACAATAAAACTAATTAATAGTTAAAGATTTAGCCAAAGATGTATGTCTTTGGCATGTTTTACTAAACTGTCTTTACAGATATCTGAATGAAAATGGAAGTCAATTGCTACTTTAGATTCCTTCCCTTGTGCCAGAAGAACAAGCCACTGAGCATCTATAGAATGGCTCCTCCTGCACTTCAGGACAGCCAGATGGATGGATTGGTAACAGGAGAGACTCACTTTTAGATAGTCAGGATCTAAATTGCTAAGGGCTGAAAAATTTAGCCCATTAAGTTGTGCCTGGTAAGAACTGGCAACCAATACAGATCTTTAAGTAGAGACATCATGTGGCTACTGTTACTTACATGGGTTACCACCCTAGTCTTGCATTTTATACGAGGTGCTGGTTTCAAATACTTTTCATGCAGAACATATTGCTACAGCAGCAGTCCCTATGCATATATGTGCCGGACTGCCAGTTGTGTGAGTGGAGCTGTGTGTGCATGCATGTGCATGCCGACCCTCTGCTCATGAAAGTGGAACTATGCATGCATGTGTGTGCGCACTGTCCTGCTGCCCACGTGAGTGGGCATGCACACTGGCCCACCTCTCACAGGGGCTGGTTCCAAGTAGGCCATGGCCCAACATTGGGCTGCGGCCTGGGTGGTTGGGGACCCCTGTGTTAAGACAGGATAAAAGCAATGTGTGAATAATTATTGCCAAATGATTAGCTGGCACAACATATATAATTAAGGAAAAAGATGCCTTGCCACATCTGCCATGTATCAAGGAGATTTCCACTGAGCCCTGTTCCTTAGGACAAATGGAGCTTTATCCAAAACATGAACCTCAGTCTCTGGGCCCAGTTTCTTGTTTGTTAACAGGATCTCCATCTTATTTGGATTTAATATCAGTTTATTCATCTAGGTCATTATCAAACATCACTAATCTTCGAGGGTACCTACATACTACAGTATTTTTTGACTATAAGACGCTCCAGACCGTAAGACGCACCTAGATTTAGGGGAGGAAAACAAGAAAAAACATCTGCCTCTGTCTTCCAGCAATTTGCCTCCTTGCAAACAGCCTGGTCAGCTTCAGCACAGCCTGATTTAATTAGCATGAGCAGCTGATTGGTGGTTGGATCGGCTTCCCAGAATACCGCTGATCAGCTGTTCCAGGCCGCAGGGATCACTGCCACCCATCACTGCCATTGCCTCCTATCGCCACTGCCGCCTATCGCCGCCTCCGCACGCCCCATTTTCAGCCTCCAAGTGCCCTATTTTTGGCCTCCACGCGTTCCGTTTTCAGCCCATTCCAGGCAGTGGGGATCGCCACCGCCTATCACTGCCAATTGCCACCGCCATTGTTCAGTGGCGATAGGTGGTGGCGGCGATCCCTGCCTGGAATGGGCAGAAAATGGGATGCGCAGAGGCTGAAAATGTGGTGCATGGAGGCAGGAAATGGGGCATGCAGAGACAATGATAGGTGGCAGTGGTGATGGAAAGTGATGGTGGCGATGGGTGATGGCAATCCCCACATCCTGGAACAGCTGATCGGCAGTATTCCAGGAAGCCGATCCAACTGCCAATCAGCTGCTTGTGCTAAATCAGGCTGTGCTGAAGCTGACCAGGCTGTTTGCTTTTTGCTGCCTGGAGGAAATTGCTGGGAGAGGAGGCCAAAGTGTGGGGGCCGGTGGGTGGGCGGGGCTTTGGCAACATTCACCCAATAAGACGCACAGACATTTCCACCCACTTTTTTGAGGGGGAAAAGTGCATCATATAGTGCGAAAAATATGGTGCATCCTTGGAGATAAGACGCAATAGAGCTGATATTGAAGAGATTCCATTCCAAAACCCAGCAATTTTATCTAGATGTTGACAGAGCCCTATGAAACACATTAGAGGTTACAAAGCAAACAGCACTGACTTTTCAGCACTTCATGGTCTCCTGACCGTCATGGTACATAAAGATGTAGTTAGATTAAGGATTTACCCTGGGTCCCCTCTTTGTCTACTCTATACTTGCTCTTTATCTAAAAGATGGTAATTAATTTGAGGTCACTTTCTTCTGCCTTTTTATTTAAGCATTCATGCACAGAGCACATAGAAACCTTTATCTTGTAGGATGTTGTTAGCTAGAGTTTCCCTATTGCTACAATACATTGTCTGTCCATACATCTCCTTTCTCTTAAAACCTGCTTCACTGATCCTTCTTCAGGTTAGATTCATGCTCGAAATAACATTCACATACGCGTATAAAAAGCTTCAGCTTCCAGCAAAACTGAAATGGCATCACTTTCTGAACAAATCTAAACAGGAAGGACTGGAGTCACTGTAGAATTGCACCCTGAAGGCACAATTCTGACCTAAGTGCAGATGTGGATGGTACTGAAAACTGCCAAGAGAGCAGGAGAACTAGCTGTGCTGAACTCTTCTCATTCACTTTCTGGAATAGGTTATCTACTAAGGCAATCAAATCAGTTTTAGTACTGTATTCTGTCTGAAAGCTTAATTGACAAAGGTCCAGATAATTAGTATAATTCAGATATCCCAGAAACTGTAAGGCTAGTATCTTTCCAATTATATTTTCCCAAAATGCAGTATTGGAGATATGTCTATAATTGTATAGTTCTTGTAAGGTAGAGAAATCTTTTTAAAATAAACAATCTTGTAACTATCTCCTTAGGTCATTGGGGAATGCTTAACATGCCATTTCTCTTCACATAAAGCTAACCTTATGCCAGCTAATTTAAATAAGTAGGAAGGACAAGGCAATAAGCAAGAATATACATCATTAATTAATTAACTCACTCGTTCATTCAAATGTATATATCACCCATCTCACTAGTTAAGTGACTCTGGGTGGTTTACACCTAAAAAACATTAAAATCCACACAAAAATCTGTACAAAAATAAACAATGTTTAAAAAGATGGAGAGATAATCCTCAAGTCACCAGCCAACCCCAGGGTTGCATCTGCAACTGTTGGATCCGCACACTGGTTGACAGCAGAGGGTTCCCTCCACACTTTCTGCCCACATCCTTGGATCCACAAGTTGAAAATAGTCCTAAATAGTAGAACCTAAACAAAACTTCAAGCATGCCTTTAATTTAAAATTTAAATTTAAATTCCTTTTAGAGAAGTATCGACTTTGGCAATGAGAGATACATTGCTGTTATTTTTTAAAACCTATTTTCCTTGCTGTCCGTCTCAGAAAGACTACCAGTTTTATAGTATAAGTGATGTAATTTTCAATAGCAATTCCTGGCAGATCAATCACTTTTCTTGACTCATCGCAGATTTCAGACAATTTTTTAATTAGTTTCAGTTTTGAAAAACCTTGATTTGTCACAGCAACTGAAACAGACATGCACAAGAAAATTCTGACTATAGTGATTACAGTTTCAAATGTAAATGAGCAATTTTATCCAGAGTATAAAAAGACAGTTATTTACTTCTTTGGGCATCATGCATGACAATTCTATAATTTCTTCCTCTAATTAATTTACATCTCCCTCTGATATTTTTGTCTTCAGCCTTTTGCAGTCACTCTTCAACTTCTTCTTGTCTATATGTTTTGTTTGTGCTATATTTGTGTTCATTTATTTATAACCAAGAACCTGATTACTTCTATCTGTACATCTATAGGTAGTCCTCATTTACCAACTGCATGGTGCAGCAACCATTTCAAATTACTATAGTGCTGAAAAATACCTTTGTGACCAATCCTTGCATTGACAACAGTTGCAGTATCCCACAGTCAAGTGACCACCATTTGCTTGCTTTGCAACTAGCTTGTAACAAGCAGAGTTAATGAAACAGGCGGAAGTAAAATAATAAGTTACAGTCAAGTGAGTTTTTGCTCAGTGAGTGTGGCACTTTGCTTAAGAACCAGGGAGCAAATAAAGTCAAAAGCCCGTTGCAGTCATGTGATTTTCCACTTAGCAACCTTGGTGTTTGGTGACTTGAGTTGCCGGTTCTAACTGTGGTTGCTAAATCAGGACTACCAAGTATTTACATTATCTAATTCTCCTCTCCCTCTTCAGGTACCAGACAGCAAATGAGAAAGGACAAGGGTCTTGCTTGGCCTGGATGGCATTTGTTGGCAGCCCAGGATGGCATGATAGCATGTTCCATCCTTCCTTCTTGCATTCTTTCTTCAATCATAATAGGTGGTAAGGAAGGATTCAGTCTGGAGCAATGTATGATGGTAGTAGAATGAATGGCAGGAGTGGAATGGCCGGGTAGTGGCTTGGCTGGGGCAGCTCTGAGTTGCAATGGGCCTTGAGAAGGAGGGTCAGCTCTGGTCACACACTTTGGCAGGCAGGCAGGACATTATGCTTCCACAGATTCATAGCAATTGCTTCCAGAGTGGAGTGCTTTTCTCTGGCTGCCCTATCTTTATAGTAACAGCTGCCATCATAGCTCAATGTCCTGTTAGCCTGACCTTGTACATCCAGACTACTATGCAGGGAAGGAAGCAGAAATGAGGGTGATTGTCAGCTTATCCAGGATAGGCAAGCTAATTTGGATCCAGGGATAGTAGTGATAGCAGGCAGAGAACTATTATGGTCCAGAGACTGCCTGGAGGGAAAGGTGTGGAAAGCCAGAAATCCTTGCATCAGATTTTTCTGATAAATGAACACCATGAGGATTAGAAATAGGAAATCCAAGTCTCTCATTCTGTGGGATGCTGCTACAAGACGACGACAATTTGAGACCTGTCCAACTTCTGAACTACCATTCTCTTCATACAGAAATTGCTGTCCTTATTTCTTGTTTTCTGGAATACAGTAAAGAAATTGTTTTTAGCTGTGATCTTCCTTGTTTTAGTGAGAGGCCAATACATTATGAAAACTGCTCAGATGTCTCTGTATTTTACAGTTCAGTCAGGGTGCTGACAGCATCGCTGACAGGCAGTGTGAGAAATTCCTCAAGTGCAGTAAGGAAACTCAGAAAGCCAGTATGATGTAGTGGTTAAGGCACCATGCTAGTAACCAGGAAACCATGAGTTCTAACCCTGCCTTAACCACAAAACCAGTTAAGTGACCTTGGATCAGTCAATTTCTTACAGCCCTAGGAAATAAGTAATGGCAAGCCACTTCTGAAACCTTGCCAAGAAAACTGCAGGGATTGATCCAATCTCCAGGTGTTAGCACTGATCTAAAGGCACATAAACACACACAAAGGATTTAGGACACACACACACACACACACACACAGCTGCTTTGACTATTTGTTTCATGCTAGACCGCAAAAGCAAATGCCACCCTAGATTTTGCTACCCCTTCAGTGTGGCTTTACACATAGCCAGAACATATGTCTCTATAGCTTTACCATGTAGCATCTGTGCTTTGGAGTTCTCTTTGTTGAAATTACAACTCCAGCCAACATTATTCAACATATAAAAACCCTATTCCAATGGA